TGTGGGAAAGACCTAGCAATGTGTTGGTGCAGTCTAGCTAGCTTGGGATAGAAATGTCCACACCAGGGTAACACACTGATGTCTTTTCCTGAATACTCATACACAAAGGAAGGTTTGCATGCATTCACCTTATTTGTTTGCCTTATATGTAAAGACAACAAACTGCCCCCATTTAGCCTCTCATGTCATATGACACAGATATGCTGTTTAATTCATTCCATAGAATGCTTTGCAGCCATAGATATGAATGAACTAATTTCTATCCATTTATACAAGGAAATTTTAACGCAAAGGTGGGTGAAAGAAAATATAACCAAGTAGCCAAAGAATATGCCACATGTTGGTACTCATGCCAAATTTGTAACTGAAATGTCAGTGAATATGTTACTCTTAACTTGAATAATATTTGTAAAACACTAACATACACATAAAATTTCCACCCTACCGTCAGGCAGACAGTTATTTCTGGAAGGCTAATGGCTAAAGTAAGGCAAAGAAACCAGCAACAGGATTTTAGGCTTACCTGAAATAGTTGCACTGCCTATGAAAATTATAAAGAAAGCATGCTAAAAGACATTGTTTACAACTAAGTAAGGGAGTCTGCTCCATCATCTTTTGTACATCTTAAATTTTAAAGCAATTCATGATTTTTAAAAGTGTCTTAAGGATTAAAACATCCGAGAGATAATTAAACAAAAAGTGGCCCACTAGAGAGTTTCTTCTTTTAATTCCTTTCCTTCTTTTTAAACGTTTACAGGAAAATCTATATTGCAAGTAGATTTAGGTATTCAAATATCTATTAGATATGCAGTTAGTTGAACTGCTTAGGAAATTAAAAAAGGAAAGCCAGAAAGTCAAAGACAATGGACAGAGTGAGGAGTGGTAATGATTAAAATATAGTAATTAAAAGCTTGTATTTATGGACTGACACAGGTGTATTGTGAATCAACTGCTACTGACTCCACAGCCAATCACTAGCTATCAGAAAAGACCACTCCACAATGCCATTCACAGGATGCGCTTAATGAAAGGATATAAGGTCAGTGCCATTGCACCACCAAATCAATAAACTCCACCCATAAATAAAGAATTTACAATTCACTTTTACGTGCATCAACTTAATTAAAGTATTTATACAATAAAACTTTCCATGGCCAATTTTAACTCTACTGCTTGGTGAGTTTTGACTGAAGTGTATGGTAACACAACCACAATCACAATAAAACCTAAGATTGGCCATGAGCAGAAATGTCTACCCATATTTCTTTACATCCAAATTTTCTATCAGTCCCTGGCTGACATCCATTAATCTTCTTTTGTCATGATAGATCTGCTTGACAAAAACTTCCTCTAAGTACAAGTTTGTGGCCTCCACCATTTCTTCCTTCTTTTAGTGTAACGCTCGGGAGACTCAATAATATTGTTCGCTCTGGCATTAATGTATTCCTTTTCATGCCCAAGAATTTCACTATTTAACTAGACTGCAGTACAAATTCATTCGTCTTGAATGGATTGCTAATGCAGTCTCACTACAGTAACTACAGTAGTGAAGTTTGGCAGTTTCCAGTCTGATGAATGAAACAGGAGGAAAATAAGACATAGAAGAAAGGGGCTCCGGAGACACAAACAACCTTCCAAAATATTTGAATTAAGAATGTCAGAGACATGAAAAAAATTTTAATATAGCAATAAGAAACTACAAGGAGAGGACAATTCATGAGAAATCGCTCCTGAAATTTAAAACATCATTTTTTTTATTAAAAGACACGAGGAATAAATGAAATTGCTGAGCGTTAAAACGGGGAAGTACAGAGGGAGAGTGGGTATGGTCAATTAATGAAGTCTAACATCCCAGGAACACAGATGCAGTAAGGAAGAGATGGGGGTTATAGGAAAATTACAGTAAAGAGGCTTAGCAGTGAAGGAAGGCTGCAGGAAACCCATCTGCTTTGGAAAAGAAGCATGGGTGCATAGGAGAGTGACCGAGACCACGTCTACACCACACACTTCACTGGAAATCCCCCAACACTGAGCTAGAAAAGAAATATACAACAACTAGAAAAATCAGTTAATTAATTAAAAGGCAGGGGTCGGGGGGAACTATAGAATTCTTACCAGCAAAACTATCTTCAAAATTCAGAGGGTAGGGAAAGACACTAGCCAAGCACTGTGAAGTCAATCAAGCTGATAGCTAAAACCTACTATCGTGACTGTATAGATACAAATAAACAGAAAAATCAAACCAGCATAGTCTTTCTGATAGAACTCCCATTCAAAAGTGTGCTCTAGCAATAAAAGAAAAAAAAAGAGGCAGAGAAGATAATTTCAAATGTGGAAGACAAAATTATCTCCCAGGAAAATCATCCTAAATTATTATGATGATGCCATAAAACACATTCCAAATATGAGTACTGAGGACCTAGCAAGGAAATATGACAGGTTGTTTGAGATGAACATTTGAAAAATAAGTAAAATCTGTGGCCAGCAACTTAAAAACCAGACCCAGCTAGAGACTTGAAGGAAAACAAAGCTCTTTGAAAGAAAAGCAGGCAATCACAGCGTACTATTTAGTTCAGCAGAAAATAATATTTATGAAGCATGATGACAAAATAACCCACTATGATTTAACATGATTAAGATACAAACAGCAAGAAATCAATAAATCCTATACCAAGACACCAAGCTGAGAAGCAACAATTAGAAGTTAAAAGTGATGTTGGCACATTAAAAAAAACCCTCCCAGCAGCCCCAATGTGTCAGTACAATTCTTTTGATATTGCTTGATTCTTAAATGTAAATACACTGTGCATGAAAATTCAAACAGTAAACCATTTTAGAATAGCCTTAGTTTCACAGTTACACCGACAATCAGAGCAAAGGGAATACTGCTTTATAGAAATTTCAAAATAGGCATTAGTGTTAACAGTCATGTTCAGAAAAACAAGTATTGATTGGGTATTTGTTTGCCACGTCTCATTCTAAGTGTTTTCTGAAATGCAAAGCTAAAGAAAATCTGCTCTTATATTTTTTTCTGTTTCTGCCTTCATCCATACCTTTCCACCTATCTCCTTATGTACTAAGCACCAATCCCCAGAGTCACCCATTCTCAGTTTATTTGATGCAGAATTTTCAGATTAGTTTTCCTAGAACAGTAGCTTGAGTTGATTGTACCCTTATTTTAAAAAACACCGTGTCTGTACCGTAACTAGTGAATCTGCCGTGAACCCCAATAAATCTCTTCTGGATTTCCCTATGAATTATTTCACCTGCATATCTCCAATAAACTTCAACAAACCAGTCCTTTTATGGCTATGGAAAACATTTGTTGGTTACATTTGCCCAACGCACTCCCTGAGCTGTCATATCCTGAATACAAAATGCTTCCACACCAGTGACCTTCACTTCCCAAGCTCTCCAAAAGTACAGGTGGATGCCGCATCTCTGCCTAAACTGTCATCCTGGGCCATGGAAGGTACTTCTCCTTCATTTGCACAATGTCCCATTTCTGTGTGTGAACCCCACACATTCTGGACCATGTCCCCCATCTAGTTGGTGTCACCGACTCTAGCACATGCGTCTCATTGGCGTTCTTGTCTACTTCCTGCTCAAATGAAATGCCTTTGACCATAGCCACTCCCATCAATGACCCAAATAGTGGTTTCTCTTGATGGTTCCAGTTCTCTCTGGCCTGGGTTGAGAGCTTTTTCCCTTCTTCTCTGAGCCCTGGGACATACACTGCCGTTACAGTCTTTTGATTGCTTTCATTGTCCTTTGATCATATCTGTACCTCTGTAAGAAGCACACTCATCAGTGCATTTGGGGGCATGGGAAGTAGTGATCAACTCTGTGACTGCCACCAAGAAGAAAAGCTCGATGAGCCATCTGGGGTGAATTCTCTGGGCCACCAGGACGCTGGCCCATATGACATTCATCTGTCCCTTGTCTTCTCTCCTAAAGTATGCCTGCTTTACCCCAGACCGTGGGCTTTCTGAGTAAAGAGACACACTGGATTCATTTTTATCTAGGTACTTAGAAAATTAATCCTACTGTGTCTATTCCATATTTCCCACAAAGATCTGGTCCTGCACAGTCCCTGGATGATAGAAGAGTTTTGCAGGCATTTTCTGTTCATAGATGTCACTGTGATTAGAATTACTGAGAGAACACAGTCCTGACAGCAGTGAACAAAGGGAGAACAGAGGAGATTGTGAAGATGAGAGCACTTTGAACCAGGGATGTGTGAACCCAGAAGCATTTTGAGATTGGCATCATGTCTTGAACTAGTTTTCAAAGGAATCAGACTTGGCCAAAGCCAAAGAGAACTTTGCCAAGCACTTTTCCCCTTAATTTTTAAACCCATGTGTATTTTAAGGGAAATTCAATCCATATGTTTCTGATTCATTTACACTTAACTCATCAAAATGTTGTTTTGTAAGAGTTATTTGATGTCCCTGTCTTTTGAGCTTTTGTAAAGAAATGTTTTCCCTCTTTAGAAATAGAAACTCTCTTTGGGCAAGTCACACACACACACATGCACACACGCACACATACCCACACACACACTGATCACTGCAAAGTTTAAAGTCACTGCAAACCTCATGGCGCACAAGGTTCCAGTGATATCTTTCTATCTGATGTGACTTCCATCTCTGTAGAAATCTCAAGGATCTTGTCAACAAGGCACAGAGTCGGACAAGGATGGAGGTCTGACTGACAAAAACTGCAAGACAAGCATAATTAAAGGGCTCCCCAAAAGGGAGATGTGCAGGCAAAGGTTGTGGAAAGATGAGAAGACGCTATAAATCAATCACAAGAAATAGACGGAGAGGATAAATGAGCGAAATTTCTGTGTACATAAGTTCAAAGAGAGGCAGGGAAAGAGGAAAATGTACACAAATATATAGCACGGAACACATCTATCAGAACTCCAGGATCCTGATTGAGAAAAGCAAAGGCTGTGGCCATTAGGGAAGCAATTACCAAAATATGTTCCTACTTACTCTGATTTGAATGTGTTCTTGAGCGGTGGCCGGTCTTACCACTCACTCTACAGACTTCCTTGCTCTACTTCTGTCGCTAAGGCTGGTGCCACCCGCTGATTTCTGCAGACTTCGCATGTTTCTTCTCCCACCTCGGTTTGTTGAACTTACACACATGCAGTCAGGAACAGCAGCCACCAACGTGTCAGAGAAGTGGACACCTAGGAGGTTGGTGAGAGAAAGCATTAACACCCCCAGCAAGTCTTGACCTTGATGTCCACAAAGCAAAGCCAAGTCAGAATCTTACTGCTTGGTAAAACACCTATTTAAGATGCTATGAAAGTCATAACGTACAAGACAGCATGAAGCACTCTAGATTTCCTACAGAAGAGTTTAATATGAACACCAAGCATGCCAAATGTGAGAGAAATTTTGGCTCTAATTTCCTGAACTTATAGGGAAGAGGATGCAAGCGGACTAGGAGAGAGGCAAATAAACAACAAAACCACACCAAAATTCTGTTGACACAATTACCTGCGCACGCCTACCCCCCACCCCACTCCCGCCCCCGCCTTGGCTGTGGTTTTTAGAGACAGAGTTTCTCTGTGTAGCCCCCTAGCTGTCCTGGAACTAGCTCTTTTAGACCAGGCGGGCCTGGAACTCACAGAGATAATGCTTCTCTATCATCCTAGGCTCTGGCTAGTCTGGCTAGCTGCCTCACCTTAGGGCCTGGGTAGTTTTGGTTTATTTGCTTGCTTGCTTGCTTTTTGTTTGGAAGGTTGGGGTTCTTTGTTTTTGTCAACTTGATGTACCCAAGAGTCACCTAGGAAGAAGGAATCTCAGCTGAGGGACTTCCCAGAGCCAATGTGTCTATGGCCGTTTGTCTGGATCACTGGTTCATATAGGAGGGCCCAGCTCACTGGAGGTGTGTGCTCCTGAATTATATAGGAAAGCAAGATGTGAATGAGCCAGAGGGAGCAAGCCAGGAAGTAGCATCCCTCTATTTCAGGACCTCTATTTCAGGTCCTGACTTCCAGTTCCTGCCCTGAGTTCCTGCTCTGACTTCCCTCAGTAACAGAAGATACGCAGAAGTGTCAACTGAAATAAACTTTTTCCTCCCCAAGTTTCTCATGGTCGGAATGTTTCATCACAGCCACAGAAAAGCAAACTCTTAACACCCTAGATGCTGTGCTGCCCTCTGTCTGGGAATTCTCTGCCTGCCTAGAATTGAGCCACAGTTACCCAGCCTCTGCTGGGATTCCTTATACTAGCCTGCTCCTCCTCTCATCAACCTTGAAGTGTTTCTCAATTTCTGCTTCTGGTTTTTGACACTGTTTCCTCAGCTGTCCTGCATGCTATGAAGCCAGCCCATGTGGACAATGCTTGCGAAGCAATGCCACCCAGCAGCAGTCAGTCACTGAGCTGTCTGAAAGGGATGTCTGCCTTCTGACACAGAAAATTGCCAGCCAGTACCATTGGGAAGGGAATAAAAACTTGGCTACAGGTCAAGCCAAATGACAAGTTTCCTTTTGTTCTCTTTTTTTTTCAGTTTTTTGTTTATTTGTTTGGTTTTTGTTTTGTTTTTCGAAACAGGGGTTCTCTGTGTAGCTTTGGAGTCTGTCCTGTGACTCACTATGTAGACCAGGCTGACCTTGAACTCACAGAGCTCTACTTGCCTCTGCCTCCAGAGTGCTGGGATTAAAGGCGTGAGCCACCATCACCCAGCTTTTTGTCCTTTTCTACTTAGGAATTTCCAAAGGAGAGTGTAAGTAAACAAGCATTTAGCATCATTTTAAAAAATGCAGAATCCCAAGGGCCATCTAAGAATGATGCTCAAAATGTGACTGGAGATGAAATCTCTGAGATTTCATGGAATCCAGGAACCTTGGTCATGCAAAGTTATCATAATTTTCGAACAGTGGACTGCCTATTAAGAGCTTGGCTTTAGTGGTCAATAAAGCAAACTGATACCCTCCATCATCGATGAAAACACAGCATGTTAATGTCAGTGACATCTAAACTGTCTTCAAATATTAAAAATATTAACATAAATTTATTTGCAATGCTTGCCAAATGTCAGGACCTATATCAAATGCTTTGCCTGTGCCTTTTAAAGAATTCTTGTAACAAAACTGTTGGTTTGGCATCAAATAACCTCCCAATGAAACAGTGACATTGATGAGGTAATTGGACCTAGGAATGCAGGGCGCTATTGTGAGAGTAACACAGTGTGTTGGAGAATTAAGATCAAACTGTAACTGTCTGCCTCTGTGGGAAGTTGGTGAGGTTATGACTCCCAAGTACCAGTTGAATATTGCCATGCCAACACTAGCAGTGCCTCAAGACTGATGCTCATGGGTACCTAGCACCCACAATTCCAATGTTTCTGATGCCTTTTCATGAGAAGGCAGTTAGAAATTGCTATGGCCCAAAAGAAGTTATGTCCCATCTACTAACATCTCATTGGCCAGAATGAATCACATGATCAAAAGAAAGGGAATAAGAATTGCCGTCGAGCCAGGTGTTGGTGGCACAAACCTTTAATCCCAGCACTCAGGAGGCAGAGGCAGGTGGATCTCTGTGAGTTCGAGGCCAGCCTGGTCTACAGAGAGAGTGCCAGGACAGCCTCCAAAAGAATACAGAGAAACCCTGTCTCGAAAAACCAAAAAGAAAGAAAAATTGCCATCATTGTGAGGCAAAGTATCAGAAAATTGACTTATTATGTAATTTAGTCATGAGTTTTTATAACAATACTACAATCACAGTATGGGGATTAACCCCTGCCAAATGTCATTCCTCACTGCCTGATCCCATGTACCTCAAGTTTTATATCATGACCTATTTGGGATGTTGAAATAGGTCTAGATTCCAGATGCTTGCTCATGACCCATCTTTAAAACATAATAAATCTCAGTGTAAGGTTTAAGTTGGGAGGCAGTTTTAAAGGTCATCAAATCTGAATTCTCTTGCCTGCTGATCTTTCCCTGCCTTTTCTGGAGAAAAGAGGCTGAATCTTAAAATAAGCATACCATTTGTTGCCTTACCACAATTCATTGCAGCAGGGCTTCTAAGTCACCCTTTTACTACCCAAATCATTCTAAACTGGAAGCATGAAGTAATAGAAGAAACTTCCTTTGGACTTTGATATCCTCAAATAGCTGCGGATTTTTGCAAACTGCGGGTGTGTTTCCCATCAACCAGCTCATTTGGTCAGCCTCGCATGTAGAAATCATTTCCTTTAGAACTCTCTACCTGGAAAGATGGGAGACCAGCATGCTTAAAAGAAAGATCCAAACCCAATCCTCAAAAGTAGCAGACAGCCATGCTGCTGAAAAGGGGCTGTGTAAATGGACTTCTCAATTGGTCTAAATAATAAAAACCCAGAGTCAGATGTTGAGGAGAATGCTGAGAGATCAGAGAGAAGAAGGAGCAAGCCACGGCCACCTTTGTATCAGTAGATTCCCAGCAGGAAAGAGTGCCAGTTCCTGTTTCTTCCTGATTCTGTCCTCTGTCTGCCCAGCCATCTTACTTCCTGTCTCTGCCTACCCGTCTCACTTCCTGTTTCCTCCCAGCTATCTCACTTCCTATCTGTGTGTACAGACCTCCTCTATGGTTAGCTAGTGGCAAACTCCATCCCCTGGTCTTCAGATAGGCTTTATTTGTGCAAGCAAGACACCACCCCAGGGCTGCACTGAGATTCACCTTCTCTTATCATCCTCAGAGTCCTTCCAGTCTCAGCTCCCAAACCTTTGTGACAGTTATCTTGAATTGCTAATGAAAGCTGTTACAGGCTGTGCTCTCCTTCGAGCAAAGTCATCTGAAAACAAAGGGACTCTTGTCCCAAAATGGTCTGACAGAGGCAGCTGTCCCGGGGAAGGGGACAAGAGAGAAAGTTAATTTCTTAAAACTTAAGAAAAGGTTTCATTAGCAAGTGACTAATAAGAAATAGGCCCCTGAATGGGAATGGTACAGAGACAGAAGAACTTTGGGTTAGGGACCACCTTCTCTAAGCCTCATCCTTAATACTGCTTGAGCAGTACTGCTTGATGGTTGACATCTGTGCAAGACTCATTCTGAAAAAGTTCCAGGCTAAAACAGTTTACATACATTGTTACATTTGACTTCGTAACAGCACCAGAGTGTGCACATTGCCATTGTTCCCTTTCTGCACACAAGGAGCCCAGACCCTGGAGACTGCCTGCCAATGCCATAACACAGCTGACAAGCAGCCAGAGTGAGATTTGAACACAAACTCTCCCTTAGTGAGACTTAACAAGCATAGCGAGCATAGATACCCATATTGTTTCTCCCTTTGCACCTGTGGAAACAGCAGCGTAGGGAAGTTATGGGACTTCTAAGTTGTACAGCCTGAGTGCTCGAAAGAGACCCTGCCTCAAAACTTTGTAGAACTTAGAGAGGACTGGAGTTTTAGCTCAATGATAAGGAAATTGTCAGACCCACGTGAAGCTCTGGGTCCAATCATCAGTACCTTTAAAAGGTGAAAAAGAGAAACGAAAAACTATCTGCATAGCCAGCAGAGACAAGTGAGAACGAACTCAGATTCCTCCCATGGCAAAGGCCGCTTACAGCAGGAGTGACAGGATGGTCTCCTCTGTCGTTTTGCTCTTAGAATGTAGCTCAGCAGAGAGGATACCACAGAGATTAATCTCTACAAGATGGCACGATCATGTCAGCTTTGCTTCCCTACCGTGGTTCCTGGTCCATTGGTCCATACACTGTTAACCTTTGGACTTGCTGATAGGCTGATAGAGGGGCTTCCCACTGGGTACCAGAAGACTTCCAGGCACCTTCCATGGAAGACCAGCACAGGGGGACTGAGACGACCTCTCAGGGGTCACTGCTCTTCGTAACCATTCCATTTCTCAGGTTTGTCTAAGGCATGCCAACTGAAGCCCTCTCTAACACTCCCCGGGATCAGCACTGCGATGATCGTTCCATCCGTAAAGACAATGCGCTTCTTATATTTCTAGGGCTACGTGCGGCACCTTCCAAAGAATGTGCCACCTGAAGTTTGGCTCTCTGTGCTTTTCATTTCCCAGCAGGCAAGGGGAATAAAGACAGCCAGTCACTTGTGAGTCTGGCAAACGTACAAGAACCGTCTTAATAGCTGAGGAACTGTCGAACAGCAGTGTTGAAACATTTCTCTGGTTTAAAAATACTGCACCGATTGCCTCCCAAATGTCCCGCCTACGTAGGAGAGCGAGCTGGGCGATGCAACTGCAGCAAGACAGCAAGGACAGCAAGAGAAAGCAAGGGGTCCCATAAGGCCAACGTGATGGAAACACAACCCTTCCCCGCGGTTCATGGCACTATGCAGACAGAAGCAGTGAGTACGCAACTCTGCCCCATAGTTTACATACTGGAGGAAATCTGAGAAAAACGAGAGGAGCCCAGGACTTAGGGAAAAATTAAAAATCACACCCCATAAAAGGTGAGATACTACTTTCAATAAGTAGGTACAGAATGTACATACCTCTGTGATAAACTTACCATCTCCAGGACTGTGGATTTCGCAGTCATGGCAGTGGTGGCTGCTAACATTGACTTAGATCCTGACTGCTCATCCTTCTGTGATTTTGATCATCCTGGGATACCCACGCTGCTATAGCAGCAGCCTCGATGGTGAGTCACTGGTTCCTCCGGCATGCTGGGGAGGGGGGTGTGCTTTCTGCCGGTCTCTCAGCTACAAGAAAGTAAAAGTGATGCTGGCCCTCTGCTGTCTTGTCTGCCCCCCCCAACACCTCGATGTTACACAACTGTAATCCCAGCATGGAGAAGGCAGAAGCAGGAAGAATGCCACATATCTGGGACCAAGCTGGACTCTAGAGTGAATTCCAGCCAAAGATACATGGCAAGACCTTATCATCAAAAGAAAGAAACAAAAGCCTACTCACTCGGGAAAATGAATAAACCATCAACTTTGAACTGCACTATTCCTATTGCCCAAATAGGTGCACCCTTTCTAAATAGCCTGGATCTTTCCACCACATGGATCAATGTCCCCCTCTTGGAGAACACAGTGACTCCTCCCAAGCCCGTGGTAGACTGTGCTCAGCATCTCCTACTGCTGTCTTTTGGCAGATGTGTTTTATTTTTTGAACTATGATCTGAATATCACCAATGTTCGCCAAACTATAAGTAGGCAGGTGCTAAAGAAAGGCTTGTGTGCAATCTTTAAAATGCAAAGCCTGATATCTCCGTTTGTTTGCAATAGAGACATTTACTCTTCCTAGGGATAGAGTGCACAGAACTTCGCCAAGTTATTTGGAAGCAATTGATTTCTTCCATGAGCAATTGCTACATGTACTCAATCATTCAGCTAATACCTTTTGAGTTCCTATTACATGATTCTCAGCACTGCAGTTACAACTGTGTTGAGCCTAATAAAAGAGCAATTTTTATACTCCTATGGGACTTTATCATTCTGCAGAAAAAGACTTAGTTTCACATTGTACAAATGAAATATAAATGTAGAACAAATTTACATTGTAAAACAAAAAGAAATTGTAGAATGCATGTTATTTTTTTAAAAAGGCTAAGTGGTGTAAGGCAGTTTTTATGACAACATTCAGTTGGTGGTGAAATCAATATAATAGGATGTTTTCACATATTTTTAATGAATCAAAAGAATCATAATTAGAATGGAATTGTAGAATGGAATAAAGAATCCCTGTTGCAGTTATCTCTATGCATCAGAGCAGGTCACAACCAACAGTGTATTTCCAATGGTAGGTATTAGGCAAATGATTTTAAAAACTATTGAGCTAAGAGGATGAAAAGTGTTTTTCTTATTCTATATGCAATGGCTGAGAAAGGTCTGTCTGAAGAAACGCCATTGAGAAAAAGATCTCAGCGTACTGAGAAAGAAGACCCAGACATCCAGGAACTCGGGAAGCTTCTGCCATATAAGTCCCGAGGCTCCCGGCTATACAGAGAACTCACGAGTCCCGGACCACACCTCCCGCCATCAGTGTAGACTTTGCATGTCCAGCCCTCGCTCTACTCCAGATTCCAGTGAACATGTTTGTACAGATTGCCTTGTTCCCTTCCTTATCAGGTGCCGAGGTTGGAAGGAGGGGAGAGAAATCATGCACAGAGTAAACCAAGTTGAAGAGTAAGAACAACTGACATTGCAATATGCCTCTCAGTTAAACCTCAGCCAAGGATCGCGGCACGGATCACAAAGACCCAAGGTAAATCAAGACAGCAGCAGGACTGGACTGGAGCAGCACCTAACCTTGCAGGTGAATCTGGGCTAGTGGCCACACCCCTTTGGGCGTGGTTTCAGGTGAGTAGTGACCAGAAGATGGAGAAGCGAAGCATGGGTGGGCTCCCCCTCTTTCTTTTTCCTCCTCTCCCCTCCCACCATCACTGCCCCCAGTCACGGATCGGAACCGAAGGGCAGAGACTAGCATCTTCTGCAGCAGGAACGCCGCGAGGGTTCTTTATTATTATCTGTGTAAGTTTTTCCCCAATAAACCACCCATTTATCATTTATCTGGGGTCTAGTGAATTCATTAATACCCGGCCTTCACTGGAACAGATATCACCAATGCAGACCTGACCTGGCTTTTGAAGGGGACTTTGTGATGCTTTTGTACATCCTCGAATTACGTGAAACCACGGTATCTGGCCTTGCTGAATATGAAAAACCGAATGTAGAGTCCCTTGAAAACTGCCTCAGATGCTGGGAAGAATGCCAGAAAGAACAAGAGATAGACAGCTAGACTTGGTGGAGGACAAGAGGTCTAGAAAACTAAATAATAAAATTAAAGAATTTGCCTGACTTAGCAAAATGCACCAACCCATTTACCATTTGTTTTCCCTACAAATGAAGTTCAAACAAGTTCAATATACAAAGGGGAAGTGAATATTCATAAAGTTTATTTTCCTGAAAGCCTGGTGTTTGAAAGGAAGTCAGATTGAACCATTCACAAATCAGGTGTGTGAATCTGGGTCCCCTTCCAAGTGCTCAGTCTGGTAGGAATTTGTACTTCAGAGCTCCTGGGGATCACTGGCAAGCAAAAATTTTTGAGAGGAAAAATGAACATAGCATCCACCGCTCTGCTACCAAAGCAATTCCCGAGGCAGATAATTCAGCTCTAGGGTGCAAATGACTCTATCTACGTGCTAACAAACCCTCACAGGTCCAAACGAAACTGTGTCCGACCTGAAAGTTACTAGTGCATCGACCAGGCCACCTGTCAACTGGAAAGGAGAGAAACTAAGTGTATTCATGCATTGTCCATGTTCAGAGGAGTTGTGACTCTGCGTTTGACTGTGATTCAACGAGTTTGAAGAGATATCAACTAAGAGAAACACAGAGCTAAGGCAGATAGTTTTCCATGGCAGCAAGCAAATGAGTTCACTCTACTTCCTAGACCAACATAGAGCTCAAAGCAGCATCAGTCTAGGACACAGAACTTTTCACGATCGTCCTGAAGTTACGCACAGCAAAGAGTTATGGCCTGAAACCTAAAACACTGGCATGCAGAAGTAGCAGGACAGATTCTAGGAGAGGGGACATCTGTTTTTGTTATTCCCACCAAGAGCTGTCTTCCAGGCTGTAGGTTGCATATGACTAGGGTTTGGCTTAAATAAAGTAACAAAGGTACAAATCTTTGACAGTTTCTTCTTCAGGAACTGAACACCCTGGGATCTTTCTTACCTCCTTCCCAGAAAATCCTTGAGTTGAGAGTTTAGAAACAAACAGTACCTGACTCTGAAACTTCTTGAGGACCTTGTTATAGCATCCAGTTTCTGTACTGAAGGAACAATGCAGATATCATGGTGCATTGCACTATTGAAGATTTACAAGGTAATATAAATGAAGGATTTAGCATGACACATGGCACAAACTGTGTACTATTCAAAACAATGTCTGTTTGCTATTATTACCAAGATGATTCTTAATTAAAATGCAGACACAGGCTTAAAGAAAAACTCTGTTGCAGAGTTGACAGACATCACTGTTGGATGAAGTGTTGAGTTGTGTTCTGGGATAGGAGCTTTTGCTGGTGCCTGGTCGGGTCATTATTTAAAATGTATTTTTAATTTTTTCTTTACTTTTGAGAATATCATACTGGGAAACAATGAAAGTTAATTCTATCTAGCCCAGTCCCATTATTTCTAACTCTACCCAGAGAGTTGCCACTCCACCAGTTTTTGACTTATTTTTTACAGGGCATTAAGGTCAGCTAGTGCTACCTATTTGTTTATGGATGTGGAACCATCCCTGGGAACATGGGAAACCTATCAGTGGTCATAGTCTCCAAAAAGAATCATTCTTCCCCCCCTGGATGTTGCCCACTGCCAACAGCTCCTTGGTAAGGGGTGTGAGCTGGGAATCATCTGCCCAGTCTACACAGGTTTCATCTTGCATGGGTCTTGTACAAATAACCAGGGCTGATAGGAGTTTGTGGTTGCAACAGGCGTGCTCTGTTCCAAACATGGTATTTCCCAGCATGCATCCCATCCTTCAGCCTTACGTTCTTTCCACTTCCTCTTCTGTGATGTTCTCTGAGACTTAAAGCTAGCTGTAGATAATACAGATGCCTCATTCAGGGATGACCACTCTGTTTCTTGTTTTTAGCTTGCTGTTTGTTGGTCAAGTCTCAGTACATAGAAGACCACAAAGTCAGAACCAGCACGCATTATGTGCCTATTTGGATAGGGTTATATGCTAGAATCAGCTAAAAGATAGCACAATATGTTCATCTTATTATATGCATGGGCCATTCCAGGACCCCTCAAAGTAACAAACATGAAGGGCGTCCAAGTTCTACATAAAAAATTAAATTATATTTGTGTACATACTACACACATTCTCCTATTTAATTAAATTGTTTTCTGGACTATATATAATATCTAATACCATATAAAAGCTATGTAAATCATTGTTATGATTTATTGTTTATGGAAAAGAACAAGGGACAACTTTGTTCATGCTCATTACATTTGCAACTTTGCAACTTTTTCCAAATATTTTCAAACTGAAACTGGTTAGTTATGTGGAAAGATGCCCATAGATATGGAAGACAAACTGTTTGACTCTTTCTCTTAAAACTGCTAAAAAAGAAAGTACAGATTAATGGAAGTAGAAAATATATAGCTAATTTCTATCTACCAAAGAATGAAAACTGAATTTTAGACAATTCAGTGTGAGAGTCTAATATTGGTGCCTGTTTCTTGACTCACTTCCTTCTTTCTGAAGCAATTTGCTAAACTAAGTAAATTCCATTGTCTTATTCCTAGTTTTAGATTACAAAGAAAAAATATTTCTGGTGCAAATGAGTGTTCCCTTCCTTCAAGAATAAGTGTTAAAATTTTGGGTACAATCTGTGTGGACTTAAAATAGTCTAGTCAGGTTTTTTCTGGGAAAACAAAATCAGGATGTCATATGATTAGGTGAATGAGTTCTAGAAAATGAAATACCTGAGATGGGTTTAATAAAGGATTCGTCTTCAGGAAGTAAGCATTACAAACGTTGAAAAGATGTTACATTGTTATCCATATGATTATTCTCACCAGTAGTCTTAATATCTTTTCCTAATGTATCCTATTACTTTTGTCATTGTCTTAATTAAAGGGCTATTGTTGGAATAACCATATCTCTTGACCCCATATTCAAAAGCTTATGACTAAGCAGACACATAATGTCAA